AGGGAGGGGGACAGGTGTTGGCACAGTGGTTGACACTGCTAGGGATGCTCACATCCCATTTGGAGTACCTGGATTTGAGTCCCAACTCTGCTTCCAATTCTGGCTTCCTGTTAACAAATGTGCACCCTCGAAGGCAGGGTGAGGGCTCAAGTAGTTGGGTCCTTGCCACCCACATGGGAGATCCAGATTGAGTTCCTGACTCCTGGCTTCAACCAGATTGATCTCCAGCTGTTGTAGGCATCTGGGGAGTGAATCAGAAGACAGGGGATCTTTGTTTCTCTGCATTTCAAATAATAAACAAATAAATCAATAAAAAATTACAACAAACATTATATGGGACTTATTCATACTAAAGCAAATACTTGTGTATTTGAAATCCTAATTTAACTGAGCATCCTGTAATTGATCAGCAAATTTGTCACTTAATATTTTATGAACATTAATCTTCTCTTTCAGCCATACAGAATGTAAATATTTAGAGTGCAAGGGTCTTTATTATTTCCTCAAAGAACTTAATACTCAACTCTTATTCCTAATTACCAATTTATTTTTGTGACACAACAGAAACATTTTGGAACATTCTCGATTTAGAGTTAGTAATAAACCCAGGAACTGTATTATTGAGAGGGTTGTTATAAAAGGTGCAAGCCTAGCCTTTCTCTCTCTTGCATCCTGATTAGCATTTGTGATCGTTTGTAACCCCATGTACTCGTGCCATTGTCATCTGCAGTGATGTTACACAGACCAAAGCCCTTGCACCACAAGTAAGCTGATCCAAGTGCCAGCCATGCCCTCGAGCCTTCAAAAGTGTGAACCAAATAAACTTTTCTTTGTAAGTTAACCCATCTCAGAGATATTGTTATTGTAATAAAAAGCTGACCAATACACACACCATTTCTAGGAAACCAACTTTGATTACCACTGCTACCTGCTAGATTCAAACACATTGAATTTCTCTCAACTACCTGTTTATAAAAAGTCCTTTTTAGGAGCAGCCTGGGAAAAAACCACCAAATTATTATTGGACCTCAAATTGTGAGCTTCAGATCATTTGATTGAGAAATTGCTAAAAATGCGATTGTCTGGGCGCAATCTTAAGCCTATTAATTCAGAACTGCACGGAATGGCTCCAGGCAATCTGAGTTTTTAAAAAGCTTTACAGATGATTTTTATCCCTCTAAAGTTTAAGAACTACTTGTTAATTGGATGTAATACTCTAGTAAAGCTATCTCCTCATTTTAGAGAAGAAAAGCTATCATTTTATGTCCTTAAAGATAAGCCACCAAAACTTCAGAGTTCAAAATATCAATCATCTTTTAAATGTATATCGAATCTATTACGTTAGTGTTAAACACTCAGCACTGTAAATTTTCCATTTGAAGCTTCCAAGCATTTAAAGAGAATTGATAAACTAATGATAACCATTAAAAGGCTGCTTGATGGATCATTAAAATAGTAAATGACTGCACTGAAGTTTACACAGGCCAGAAAAATTTAAAAAAATAGACTATCCATGTAGGATATTCTAATGCTGCTATCTAGGATTGGTCTGGGCAACCCAAGGCTGTTTGGGGGTTCTGAAAGAAAGTGCCAATGTTCAAAGCTACATAACCCTGTTGACTGGGTGGACTCACAAGGGTTTTGACCTCTTGGTGAACAGAAGTCAGAAGGCTTAGGTTCTATGCTTTCTGGACTCTTGTTTTTTGGAACTTCAATTTCTATCAATCAACCAATGACTGATCTCTAAAGTATCTTTTGGAACCAGGCTTCTATTATCAATTTGAGGTTCTGTTTTCTCTGCTATCAAATACGGGAGTTGAACAACGTGCAGTCAGTCCATTTGTCCTGTGGGCCTGAGGCTGCCCTGTTGTCTCTATTATTGCACTCAGATCTTCATTCATAATTCAGGCTCATTCTTTCTAATGGTGTAAGTTCAACGATGCTTCATTTAGGTTAGCCCAATGAAAGGACAATATATTAGTCATTCACACGTGTCCCTTATGAGAGACCATTCATTCAAAATATACTGAGTGACCAACAACTTATGTGTCATTCATCACTACTACTGGCTTTGGGACTACAACAGTGAAAGGGAGAGAGAGAGAGAGAGACAGAGAGGATAAAAACAACAACTATGAGTAATGGAGATATAAACAAAATAACTTCAGTATGTTATCAGTGCTGTGAGTGTTCCCTAAGGGCTGAGATAGAGAATAACCACAGGATATTCAGGGAAAGCCTCCTGGAGGAAGTAAGACTTACTCAGACCAGAAGGAAGGAGATAAACAGGCGGTAGGGTGGAGCACGCAGAAAGGGGCAGGGCAGGGGAAAGCAGATTCTGGAATCCTGTGGGAGGAACAGCTTATGTGCTTGGCAAACAGAATCCTGGAACAGTTCCTTCCATCTCTGAGAGATAATTTAATCTAAAACTAGAGAAAGGAAACCAGAGGCCCAGTGTCAAATGGGCAGTGATTTAATGGGCAAATCTTCCAGACTTCAGTCCAGAATCTGAACTCTTCTTAGTTAGAGATTACCATTCAGCAGGACATGCCAGACTGCGTTGGTTCCAGTCCTTGCTCTTTTACTCATAAACTGCTTGTACTTGTTTCCTTTTGTTTGAAATACAGACAACATCTACCGCATCAGGCTGCTACAGGGATTTAATGAGATAATATGACACAGGGGCCAGGGCATCATAGCTGCCTAATAAATGCAAGCTCTTACTTTTTATCTAGTGCATTTTCACTCATGCCATGCTGTTGGAAAGTCAAAAGAAAATAGGGCAGAAGTTATGCAGCCTGCGTGAAGAAGGAAGGTGGCAGAGGGGACATTCTGGAATATCAGGCTGCAGCCTATTTAGCAGCTGTCCATCTGCGAGAACTTAGAAGAGGAGATGAGAAGACATAGCGACTGGAGTGGCAAGATGTCCAGGAAAAAGTCACAACTTCTTGGTTTTGTTCACAGTTTAATCTGCTAGTGGAAAATCCATAGCTGTCTTACTAAAATAGCAAAGACCACCCATATCAATGTCTATACTTAAAAATCAGCATAGAATAAACAAGTTTTGCTCTAGGATGCTAATAACAAAAAGAATGACACATCTCATTAATAACAGGCCAAGAAGGGCTGGCATGGTGGCATTGCCAGTAAAGCTGCAGCCTACAACGCTGACATCTCATATGGATGCTGGTTCGTGTCCCAGCTGCTCCACTTCTGATCCAGCTCCCTGCTAATGGCTTGGGAAAAGCAGCGGAAGATGGGTCTCTGCTGCTCATGTGGGAGACCCAGATGATGCTCCTGGCTCCTGGCTTTGGCCTGGGCCAGCCCTGGCCACTGTGGCCATCTAGGGAGTGAACTAGCAGATAGAAGTGCTGTCTGTAACTGTAACTTTCAAATAAAATAAAATAAACCTTAAAAACACACTAAGAAAAAAATTTTAACATGTCATTCAATCAACTGGGGACGAACCAATTATCTGTAGGCTATTACAACAATAGTGATTTGTAAGGTTTGAAGATCAAACCATGATACTGGAAGAAAGAATAATATACCTAAGTAACAATGAAGATTTTCTTCACTGTCTATGAACAAAACCACAGAATGGACTTCAGCCTTAAAATATCAAGAGGCATATCTCATAGGTTAAAATGGACAGCTATTGTGGACAGCTGTCCCCCAAAGCCTGCATGCTGTCCCCAAAGACTTAACAAAATGTTAGGGAATGTGTATCATTCAGACACACATGAAACAGCACTGAATATTTCTCAGTGTTTGAAGTTCACTGGGTCCCTTTTCCCCCAACCATAAGGTAAATGCCATTCCATATACAGCTTTTTGAAATGTTGCTTACTTTATGATTCTCTGCCGATGCTGCCTTATGGGAGAAATTTTATTTCAAAGTTTCATAGAATGTGAATTGAACTCATTATTTTACTCCAAACTCATTGTTTAATTGACAGGAAACATGCATCTAAATCATTGTGTATGCATGGCAGAAGAAGCTACATAAATTTAACAATGGGTGGATTATTACTATTTAGCATATTTATGGAATTTTAGATTCAGGAAGCATTTTACAAATCTTTTATTAGTTAATCCTTACACTTTGGAGTGAGTCTGACAGGTGGTAAACAATGCTTTGGGCTTAAATTGCCAATATGTGAAAACTTTAATGGGAGAAAAAAAAAACCTACAGCATTTCTCCTCCCTCTCAAATGTGCCAAGGGCACATTTCTGATACCTTTTCCTTCTCATCAGAGACCAAGGAAACGGGCCCAGGAAGCAGAACCGCATATCCAAAATTGCAGTACCAAAAGCAGAATGTACTGGGTGGTGTTCTGTCCTAGGTCAGGTGGCCAACACCAGGAGAGAGATTGTCTCCAACGTCAAGGTGGTGCTACCGAACTTACAAAAAGATACCGTCCAGTGCTCCGGCACAGGAAAAGGCACAAAAGCAAACCATTTTCCTAAAACTACACAGTAAATTTAAATTCTAACACTGACACACCTGCTGGACTCACTACTGAATAAAATCGCCAGCAATTTATTCTCTTAGCACGCATACAGGTATACTGGAGAACAAACCCAAATTAAGAGTTTATTTTGATTATTATTATTTTAATTCCCAAGTTGTAAAAAAACTAAGCTCCCTGGACTATCACCGCAAACTTTTAGAGTCCTCCAACCTACCCTTCCCGAAGCCACCAAAAAGTGTTGGAAAGCAGGGCGAAGAAAGCCTCAATGAATCAAAGTCTCATCATTCTTGACCCCAACCTTTTCACAGCCCCGGGCTTTCAGAGCCAACAAACCCAGAGAAACCAATCCCGCCCCACCTGAGGGCCGGACGTGAGGAGTCGCACACGCTGCGCCTACTTTCAGGCGACCCCAGCGTGGACACGTCGCCGGCAGAGCCTTATCCCTGCTGACGGACAGTGACTTTATCCCCCCCTAATCCCCAGGCCAGCGGCCCCGCTCGGGGGGTGCGAGCCCTACGAGGGGGAATGAGAGATGGAGGGACGCGGGGGCGGGGCGAGTCCTCAGGAAGCGAGCCCCTCTGCGGCGCTGCCGGCGGGCGGTCAGCGGAAGGTAACCAGGTCTCCCCCACCCTGTCGGAGCGTCCAAGGGGCGCCCTCCCTCAGCCCCCTGCGGCTGCGGAGTCTGTGGCTACGCGCAGGGTGGCCAGAGAGACCCCCCGAGGCCCACCCAGCCCTCAGGACGCCGACCCCGCCCCGCCCCGTGCGGCGGCCGCGCTACCTGGGTACGCTGAAGGCACCGGGCGGGCGGCGGCTCCGTGCGCGGGCCGGGCGGCGGACGCTGGGCGCGGGCTCAGTAAAGCCGCCGGGAGAGCGGCCGAGCCCGCCCCGCCGGGCCCGCCCTCGCGCCGCCACCTCGCTCCTTATTGGATGGATAAAATATGTAGCCCCTCCCCGCCTTCGCGGCCTGCCCGGGAGTCATCTGGGTGGCGCCCCTGCAGCCGGGGGCCGCCTCCTGGCCGCCCGAGCCGCGCCCAGACACGCGTCCGGGCGGCCCAGCTTGGGGGCTCGGCCTCTGCGGGGGCCGAGCCTGGGACCTTGCCCTTCCCCGCGCAGCGCCCGAGGGGTCGTCCTAGAGGCGTCGCTGCCACCCACCTCCGGGAGGCGAGGGGCGCGCCAGGTGGGGGGCACCTCCTTGCACTGACGGAGGAAAAGTTTCTGGCGGTGTCAAGGGTCAGTTTCTCGTGGGGGCGTTCTGGATCCCAGAGGGGGAACTCCCGCGAGTCCGAGTGCGGGTTCCGCTGACATCACGGTCAGCACATCACTGGGTGTCATCTGGTGTAGTTTACACGAAGACTGACCGTCATTACTGCAGCCTCTGCACGTTCGGTCTTCTAGAGACAGCTCAGCGAGGGGGTGAAAGAACTTCATTTTTAAGTAAAAAGTAGTATTAGAAACCAGCACATTCATAGTTTAGCCCTGCCCTAAGGTCTAAGTATGTGACCTCTGAAAAAATTTAGAGCTTCCAGTGACCAGGATTGCCTAGACTGAATCACTACCGTACAGTTCATTTCCAGAACTTTCCATGTTTTAGCTGAGATTTTCATTTTCCCTTGTAACACGAAGGTGAGGTGAAAACAAGATGCAATAAAATCAATGTGAGGAGCTTTTTAATAACTGATACAAAAGTTTATGAGAGAGGCAGTCAGTAATAATTGAAAATAAGATTCGAGAATTGTCCGTAGTCCTTGTTCTTCAGTCTTACAACTGTCTCTGAGCTTGAATATGAAGTTAGTGATATGTATTATTTTTAGCAGGAATACTAGTTTTCTAATAATTATTAAGTAGATGAAATAGGTAGTATCAGTATGATGTCAGATCAGTTTAAAACTATTCACGGAAGCATGTTAACTAAATGAGCAGACACTGTAGTAATGACAAGTTTTTAGTGAAATTGATTTGGTCTTAAAGTTTAAGTATTACAAAAGATACACCAGAAAACATAGAATCTTTGGAGTCCTGACTGAAGTCTAATGAAATTATTTCCTTTGAAATAATCCCATTTCCTTCAATGGTTTCTAATAAGATATGAATAGAATTTCATTATTTGGAGGTTTCCATTCATTCTTCAGAGTATTTAATGAGGGCTCATCAAGTGCCTAGCACTGATTGTGGTGCAAGTACTACAAGGGTGAACCAGATAGATACAAGTTCTGCCTTCCAGAAGGTCACATTCTAGTGAGAGACAGACAGCCACCAAATAGACAAGTGCAAAGATAATTAATTGCACCTGTGAAATACGTTGTATGCAGAAGTATGGAGTGCTAGGAGAGAATACCCTACAAGCGGCTTGACTTTTAGGTCTTTTGTTGACTTGAACTCTAGAATTATTTTGAATCTGCAATTTTTTCATCTTTTGTTCTTCTTTCATATCTCATATCCAAACCTTTAAGAAATCCTTACAGCTATATCCTCAGAAGGTATTTCAAATGTAATCTCTACCACTAGCACTGTCTTCCAAACCAGCATTGCTTACCTGGATTTGTGAAAAAGCACCTAGATTTCTGTTCCACTCTCAGGCATGCCTCTATGGTCTATTATCTGTGTAGCATTTAGGATGACCATTTGGAAGTATATATAGTATATTAATTCATGTCAATCCTTTGCTCAAAAACAAAAACAAAAACAAAAAAAACCCCTCACTTGATGGCTTTCTATTTGCTCTCAGAACACAATATAAGCTTGACTGTGGCCTTGAAAACCTTACCTGCCTACCACCTCTCCTTTCTTACCTCCTTCTTCATCACTGTCCCTCCCATACTCTGCCACACTCTCTGGCTTTTCTGCAGTTCTTTCATCCCTCATGCTTCTGCCATTGAGCCAGGACTGTCTTCCTCTAAAGCTTTATAGAATCTTGTTTCTCAGTTACATCAGAAATCTAGACCTGAATCTTCTCTGAGTTCATGACCACCCTTTCAAATTAGCCACCTCTCTCAAACCATCTTTGTCTCCTTAATTTATTTTAGTTTTCCTTTTAATATGTCCGTGCATGTGTGTGCTACATATGGTCACACACACCTGTGCACACACATTTGTTGTGTGCTGTTCTCTATCTTAGAATAAGAACAGCAGCTTGGTTACAGTACCAGGCACATAGAAGGCACTCAATAAATATTTGTTGGAAGCAAGCATATAAATTGATTGTTTTATGAGTGAATGTTTGCACTCCCCCAAAAATCTTGTTGGAGCTCTGACCTCTAAACGTTTATATTTGGAGATAAGGCCCTTACACAAGTAATTAATGTTCAATGAGGTCCTAAAGGTGGGACTCTGGTCAGAAAGGACTGGTGTCTTTATTAGAAGAGACTCCAGAGAGCTCATTTGCTTTTTCCACATGTATGCACCAAGGAAAGTAATGTTATCAGACAGTAAGTTGACCACCTGCAGGATGAGAGCCTTCACCAGGAATCAAAGAGATCGGCATCCTAATTTTGGACTTCTCAACCTCCAGAACTATGAGAAATAAATTTTTATGATGTAAGACACCCAGTCTATGTTTTGTTTTGAGCAGCCCAGGCAGACTAAGACAAGTTATAAAGACTATGAAAATAACAAGGAACTCAGTTATAATGTTCAGTCACACAGTATCACAAATCGCTTTGAGATCACTAATGCAATTGAATGATGTAATGGTGTGACTGAGCAGTCCTTTCTAGCACCTCCCAAAGTGATGGAGGCTGGAAGATTAATCTTATCTTGACCTGAAAATAGAATAAATGTTCAAGATGAACAAATACTTTTGATGACGTTTCTTGTTTGTTTGTCCCCCCCCCCCCCCCCCCCCGAGGTCAGGAGTGGTTGAAACTCAGAGGAAAAGAATGATCCAGTTATCATGGTGAAAAATGCTGTTTCCAGAGGGAGCTCAGTGTCTAAAAGCAGCAGAAGTCCCCCACGAGTTCCCCGGAAGGACTCACATATAGCTGAGTGCCTACCACATAACCAAAAACTACTGATATTCAAGCAAATACCAGATGCTTCAGATAACAGCTTCAGGTACCTACCTTGGTGATTTATACCCTTGGCTTACAAAGTAGGCTATGGTAAATAAACACTTGAGCTTCCACTTTTTTTTAATTATAAAGAATATATATTTCGTATACTTTTTATTGCAAATATTTAATATATACACTGATCCTGGCATCCTCACTTGCTCATGGGTCAGGTAGTCTCCTGTCCTAAGGAAAGGCTTAGTGATCCACACATGGAGAGTAACATAAAATTCCTAGCTTTCTTCTATTGTGTGGCATCTTGCTGGTGTTTATATGTGCTTGTTTAAGGAATTAAAGATTCTATTGTCCAATTTAAACAAACTAAAAATCACAAAATGGCCAAGTTGCTTAAAAAGATTTCTGTAGAGAAAATAATACAAATAATAAAAGCATAAGCAATGAATGGAAATGGGGTATTGACACTTTTCCTAATGTAATGGCCGTAAGGGGAATACTAATTAGCAGTGCTGATGATCTACCTAATTCATTCTTTTTTTTTTTTACGTTTTTATTTACTTTTTTGAAAGTCAGAGTTTACACAAGAGAGGAGAGGCAGAGAGAGAAAGGTCTTCTATCCGATGGTTCACTCCCCAATTGGCCACAATGGCCGGAGCTGCACCGATCCGAAGCCAGGAGCCAGGAGCCTCCTCCGGGTCTCCCACATGGGTGCAGGGGCCCAACGACTGGGGCCGTCTTCTATTGCTTTCCCAGGCCGTAGCAAAGAGCTGGATGGGAAGTGGAGCAGCCGGAAATAGAACCAGCGCCCATATGGGATGCCGGTGCTTGAGGCCAGGGTGTTAACCTGCTGCGCCACAGCGCCAGCCTTCTACCTAATTCATTCTTAAGAAGTCAACTCTTCCTTCCCAGTGAAATAATCAAGAAAATATGTAAACTATGGATTTACATTCATTTTTAATAAACAGCTTGCCTTTAAGCTGATTAAGAGGAGAAAGAAACTCTGAATTGGCAAAATAAAAGGAGTTTGGAATCTACTTGGGGATTTTGGCTACCTACCAGTCCTAGTTTTGAATTATTACACATCATAATAATATAAATTCAGATTCACCAATATTCTTTAAATTGATTGGTTTTCCCTTTACAATGGAATGTATTGCTAGAACCTGAGCTTTAAAGTAATATTAGAGCATTGTCCTACTTTTTCAAGCTCTCAGAAAACTATTCCCCATTCACATTTATCAGCAAGAATGAATTTGTAAGTTTCCTGTTATTCAGCTACAACATATCAAGATATTGACATATCTTTAGTAGGAAGCTAGTCTAGTTCTATTTTTTAGATGAAGATCACATCATTAAATATTAAGGAGACTTGGCTGCAATTCATTGTGTGATTTGAAGCTGAGGTTGAGAGATGTCAGTGGACTTGCTCATGGTCAAACTACTAAATCCAGTCAGAACTGAGACTAAATAGAGTCTTTTCATTTTTCATTCTACATATTTTCCACTGTGACAAGCTACCTCAGTGTGAGCTTGGTGAGAATGTTATTTTTTTTCGTGAAGCATGAGCTAATGAATGTAGGGCACCTTTGGTTATGCCTCATTCTGC